TTATTTCTGAGACACCCTGTATATAATATGTTGCTTGCTTGTGACTTTTTTCCTGAAACTGTTCATTCTATTTCTCTGGAAAACATTTGATCTTCCATTACTTACTTTACACTATTTATTGGCAGCTTCACAAGCAATAATTGCAAAAAGTACATGATAATATTATAAAAATGTTAACCGACTGCGTCCATCTTCTTAATTTTTAAGTTTCCTTGAAACGTTTTAAGGCATGTTATATCAACGCAAAAATGCTCTGTTTTAAAAACTTGCACTCCATGCATACGTAGAAAATGAATTATTACAATGGTGCAGATAAAATGGAGTGCTGTAAAATTGTGAAAGCATTTTATTAAATAAATTAGTCTCAAGTGTTGTATCACTGAAGGAATAAAAGTATTGTATTTAACTCATCTAAAAAACCAACTACACTTTACCTATTTGGAAAGAGAAGATGGTGCTCTTTTCGCAAAATTAAAGGTGAATTAACACTAAAACATTATTATTAAGACCCACCACTGACCCGGAAATGACCGGCATTCAGGCAAGACTTCTATCATTACGGGTACTAAGACCAAGTAATGATATGCATTGATTATTATTATTTTACGATTTTTGTGTTGATTTACTATTTCAAATTTCAGACATACCTTTTCAGTTAATGGAGAATAGGGTGAAATAGGTAAACTGACACGCCGCTATAAATTTTTTAAATATTAATTCAAACCAGTTATACATCATTGAAAAAATAAAAAAATGTATTTAGCCTAGTTATAAAATACAATCCAGTAAGTTTGAAAACAAAGGTTTCATGTTATTGTCGAAAAAACCAAATGTGATGTAACGCTTATCACATACCTATAGTTGGATTCATGTATCTTTTTCATGGGCGCCCATAGAAACCATTCTCAGGGGGGGCCACCCTGAAATTTTTGTAATCTACTCTATTCTTGTATATACAAATAATATAATGATACAAATCTTTACTGTTACAAATATATATTTTAATCATCAACTGCATTAATCAAATCCACTCGCAAATAACCCTATAAAAACATTATTCTTATTATTAACAAAACAGTGTAAAATATTAAAATTAAAAAGTTATAAAAATATTAAATTAATCAAAAATTTTTTGATACTTGGAAAAAACTAACATGCTCTTTTAGCAAATCTTCCATAAAAATACAACTGTCAAGGTTTTTTATTTTTACAAAATCCTGCCAATTTTGGATTTCGTCTGTTAAATTGTCAGTGGAGTAAAATTCGCCCAACCCTTTAAAGCAACTTGGTTTTAAGTTATGTATATTCTTTCGATGTAAAGAAAATAATGAGTATAGTGACAGTTTTGTTTCGGAAAATCGTGTTGTTAGGGAAAGAATTAAATGATCCAGGTATGGAATAAAAGTGCCTATTTTAAAATAATTTTCTATGCTATCTGTGTTGTGGTTCGTACCCCCACTGGTGAAACAGTTCTGGAGCAACCAAAATTTCCACTCGACGTCGATGGCTACTCCGAAAAACCGCCATCAGTAGTAATAAATAACACCACTATATAGTGCACATTGTTACGTTATTACCGCTACCATGATCAGCCTTGTCACTTATTTTATAGTTCTTATTAGCTGAAGTATCATCAGTATTTGTAATTTTTCTCTTGAAGAAATTTCGAATATCTATATTTCTCTGTTTCTAAATAAAATATTAAATTTAAAATTTAAACAGACATTTAATTTAATTTAATCAAGAGTACTTACTCTCGAATTTTGAAATAAAGAAATAATAATAATTATAGCCAATAAAACGCCGGTTCAACAACTGTTCGTCTTTAAACGTCACTTCACCACATATAAAAAGTGAAAACGGAATGGATATAAGCAATAAAGTGTTTGCTCTTGTAATAACTGTAAAAAGCAAATAATGAAACAACCCATTATTCAGTACCGGTTAAAAACGATAGATTTATGATGTTTCCAGGCAAATCTGGGCCGAACAAAGGGTTTCAAAACCAGATGGTCTAAGTTTGTCACATTTCTGTGTTTGTGTGGCAATAAAACTGAAAGTGTAGGGCATCTTGTACCTACTCTTACAAATGTGCTGAATTTTAAATTTGACAAATAAAAAGGAAATTGACGTAGAATCTCAGGGGGGGCCATGGCCCCCCCTGCCCCCCCCCTATGGGCGCCCATGATCTTTTTACACACGCGACCAAAAGCTAACGTCCGAACTAATAACTGTTACTTTGTAGTAATTAGTCAAAAAGATGACAATGTTCATAACGTCAACATGACACAAATGTATAGGTTCAGGCAGGTCTTTTGGTTTCGGTGCTTTCCGATTGGGCCGTGATTTTGTTGGACTGGGAAGCACGCCGAGTCTTTCTTTTAATCTTTGAAACCGTTCGGCGAGTAACACTTAGAACATCTGCAACTCGCTAAAAATTTGAGCGAAATTATTAACCATGAACCTTCAAGTGGTTTTTACTTACTTGTTCTGTACCATTTAATGAGATTAGAGGACCACCGTTTTCCTTCTCAAGAGCAAAATACTCTATAAAGTTGGACACGATGTTCTGGGCACGGGAACTCAAATGTTTGCCCTCCATGTTGTAGACCAAACATGAACAAGAACTAAGATAACAAAACATAAAAAATAGGACAACGAAACAAGAATTCTAACAACCAACGAACTTTACGAAGAACTGAATAGAAAACTTGAATAGAACTACGAAAAACTGCGATTAACCACTCTAAGTAAAACCAAAAATGACAGTGACGTTTGATGAAAAATCAATGAATTATTAACAGTCACTAGATTGACTACATCAGTGCCTGTCGCACTATGTGGACGCATTTATTACGTATTTTATCTTTTTCTAATTCAAGGAACTTTGTGGAAGAGAATAACTGACGTAGAGCGTAATTTGGCCTAATTTCGGTAGACATACTATTTGTCTGGCTTTTCGTTTTTGTAATCCTTAAAACAAAGATTCTTATGGTAGGTGCTGTCTGAGCTTGTATGACACTTCGGTCACGTGTGTCAAAAGATACATGAATCCAACTAAATATATTCATTTTAAGGTTTGGTGTGTTAATCATTCAAAAGTTCAGTATTCTTTCTTCGGAATAATTTAGATATCTGCATTCTGGATGAGTTGAATTGGGACATTCAATACATATATCTGACTTCTTTTACTTATAGTATGTTACATTTGATCGCATGAACTCGTGCAGGAAAGTTTAAAATTCTATATTTTTAGAAATAAGACAAGTAGGACGACAGAAACGTTTAAATTCTCTTCAGACATGAGTTCCTAAAATGAATGCATATAAAAGAAATTATGTAGGGGAAACTACTTATTTTTAACTGTTTATGCAATGCAAGTTGCGATGTGGTACTCAAGGAAAAAGAATATTTTGCGAGACTTAGTAATAGTGCGCCAAATATCGACCAAGTTTAGAAAAATGTCACAACTTTATTGTTACTCTGCTACGTTTTCGAGGATTCCAAGCTTTATTTACTTTTGCCGTTTAGCATCCGTTTTACGAACAGTTCCTATCTGGAAGATGTAAAATAAATCAGATTAGTCGCGCAAAAGTTTATGTTTCTGTTTTAAACAGTTTCCTTGTAACAGCGAAGCGCTTGTGGGTAAGAAACACAAATTTATAGATTTCCTCAAAGCTACAAGTGCACACCGCAGATTGTACGCAATTATAGTTTATTTATTACTCTTATAAAACAAGTAATTACATCACACGAAAGTATACAGTTCCACAATTTGCTTTCCTCCTTACACGTAACGTCATTAAAAAGAAGAATTTGCATGCAACATCAGCTTCTTTTTCCTAGAAGGTTTATTATAATGAGTTGTGGCAAGTCTTTAACAACAGACTTAAAAGCTTTTGCTTTATGAGCAATAATTTCCAGCTAACTGCATTGAATATTATGTTTTCGTAGCGGGCAGCTCACGGCCTTTCTTAAATTACACTTTGTGTTATCACAGTCGTACCTTTAAAGTGTCGGCTGTAGAAAAGTCGCTTTTAATGCAGGATTAAGTGCATGCCTACGACCGAATTTAAATTCAACAACGACGCCGTTTTGCTTAACAGTTGCATTAAAGAACAGCGCTGAAGCTTTGTGTAAACCTCGACACGCAGTCCTGAAAAATAAAAAGCTCAGATCGTTACAGAACGTCACACATATCGGCTTTAGCGTCGATTTATTGTTTTCGTTGATGCGTTGGTTTTATTTTATAATTTCAGCACACGCTTTGTGTGATCGAAAACCGTAAAATCAAGAGCGAAATAATGGCGATGTTATCCGAAATATGTCTTCCTTCCTAATACTTGGATTATAGGGGTTCGGGCCCTAAATTAACATGCGTTTTGGTGTACCTGGTTATTAATATTGTGAGGGATTGCTTCACGTGCCTAACATAAAATGGACTCGACGATTTCGGCGAGAATTTCATCTTGTGTTTATTGCATTCTATACAAACATTCTTCACAATTACTTAACTATTTTGAACTTTCGCCATAAATAGCTATATTCACAAAAATTAGACACAAAAATGAAAATTTAGTTGACAATCAAGGTATGTTGAAAGTTAATTATGCTAATTAAAATGTCTTAGAGAAAACAATTGTAAGGGTGAAAGTCTTGGAAACCATTTGAGACGGATATAATTTGTTTATAAGCCGCAATCTATTTCATAAGTTATAACCACAGCCATAAATATAAAATAAAAACAATACCATGTTCTTTCAAAATAAAACAATTAGTTTACCAGAGGGACAATTCCATACAAGTCGCATCCCTTATTGCACTTAAAGCTTCATGGTTACATTCAAGACAAGCATTTCATTTCTATGTTTATTCCACTTTTAACCCGAAAATATTTTCGTAACGGGTAAAACACGTCCGACAGAGAACTTCATTGCTCGGAATCTCTTCAGAATTATTTTTGACCCCAAAGAAAAACAAAAATAATGTAAAATACATACCTTCCTTAAAGTGTGACTTCCACTGGTATACTTTTCCATTGAATGGTTTCTCATTATGTTCTTTACATTGTACTTCTCTAAAGGATGGAGAGCCCGTAGGACAAGGCTAGATTTTCAACTGATATCGTTCACAAGATCGATTGCAACATGATGAAAGTTACTCACGTCCAAGTTACAGATTTTGACTTTTTTTCGTTCTCCTGTACAATAGCGACCTCTGTGTTGAGGTACGGGATTGTCACATTCTCTAGTGGCAATTTGTACACCGCCACCGCAGCTCCTGGAACATTCTGAGAAGGTACCCCAATCGCCCCATCCTCCATTGACAGCTTCGGGACGCTGACCCATTGGGATGCATTCTTTTCTGTAACACCACTAAAGAGATCTATTGAGATAAATGTTAAACACAAGAGTAAAACCGCGACATAATACACGCATAATGCTTCAATTTGTGTGAGAATATGGGCGGAATATACACCGACCGACAAAAAAAACCGGTCACCGTGAAATGTTTTCCTAAACCACTTTAAATATGATATTTTAACTAGTGATTGTATTTATTTGTCTCTTTTTTTAGCTAATTTGTACATCCTTTGTCAACAGTGAATGGTTCTTTAACTAATATAACAATCAGTAGTTAAATTAATAATTTTTATCAGCAAATTTTGACGACATATGATGTTTCAAATATTTAAACTGTATATCCACATATTTGAAAATCGTCTTCTTTGCTTTCTCAAACGCCCGTATTACTAACGTCTTAAACGCTTAAACTGCTGTGCAGTGTATGTGTAGTTACTTTCTATTTATAGAAACAATTTTTTTTCACTTATTTTCAATTTCATAATACACCATCTATAGTATATACCAGGATATTTTTATTAACTCTGAACATATGACATGAAGAATGGCCTTAATCCCTATGTTTAGTTGTAAAAAACACACATCAATGCATTGAAAGAAAGCAACCAATGTTACTACATCCAGCCTCCTTCATTAAAAAAAAACAAAGTGTGAACTGGTTTGAAATATTGTGATAAAATATTTTACAAAAATATAAATAATATTTAGCTCAATGCATCTAGTATAAATACCACACATGAAATAGAACAAATTATGTTTTAACTCAAGAAAACAAGTTAAATATCGTATGCTATGCATAGTAACTAATGTCTTCATTAACATAATTCCATCTACTTTGAAATTTCTTGTTCCACAAAATCATTGATATGTATTTTTTAAAAGTGAATAAAGTACTTGTCTGTGTGTCATTAGAATTTGTACCTGCATCGCTGCATCTAATTGTTTTTTTTTTATAGTTTTATAGTTCTTAATTTTTGATGCCATAAATTGTCCTTATTAACAACGAATGCAAACAGAACATATTCCAATTGTTGACCCTAAACCCTCATTTGTATTAATACTATGTTGCAAAATGTTAACTAATGTTTTTTTGAATTATCGGTTCACTATAAAATTAAATTCTAAACTAAGGTTGGGTTTCATTTCTCTTCATATGTTGTTAAAAAAATTTCTACGACATTCAACACCTACTAACGTAATATGTTAAATATATAAATGATGCAGCTACCATAATTACTTTATGTTATTAATTCCAGAAATAAAATTTCGTTAACTTCCAAATACTTTTGTTAGTACATATGTTCCTGCATAAAAGAAAAAAAAAACGACTCCACCGCAAAAATTGAAACAATAAGTAACAAATTACATAAGAAACATTACATTAGGGCAACCGGTCTGTGCAATGGAAACCGTTACTGGATATTTAGTAATTGAGTATAGACTGATCCTGTGGTCATCTAAAATCAATACGCGTGATGTTATCATCAATTTCAACACCCCGTTCTAGTTGTAATTTGGTTTCATCTCACTTATATCTGGTCAGTCACCCTTTAATAGTCTCTCTTTCTCCACCACTTTCGCTCCGAGTATTTTGGTCAAATAAGTAATCACCGACCTTGTTTTCTCCGCATTTAGTTCCATCAGCGGCTGGTTCTTCCTTGGTCTGGCACTTGTCGGGCGATGTTTCGCAAAGCAGTATCTCACAGATATTCTCCTGACCAAATCCACACAGGGTTGCGTTGGGCATAAAGATCCCACACTGCTGTTCGGCATCGTAGACAACTCCTGGCAAGACATCCCGGTCTTTGTAGAGAGATATTTCCGGCTCGTCGTTGAGGCAATCTCCCAAACCGTTCCTGAAAACAAAGACACCGTCCTGAAGGGAGCGAATTCTCATTCTTACCTTCGATCCAAAAAAAGAAACATTCCTGAACAGCGTTCCATAATGACAGAGCGCAAACGAATTACTTTACTTAATTTGTGCCGTACTAATTCAAAGTTTAAAAAATTGCAGTTATCCACACGGAATATTAAATATTTGGCATTTAAAATATGCATAACTTGTTAAAATAAAGTCTTCAACATTTTACTGAAAGTAAATGTATTGATTCTAACTTGTAGTATGTTGCGCCGAACACTAAATCTTCTTTTAAATAAATGCATACTAGTAATTTACACAACTAATTCTGGAAAGCCTGATTCCGGTATTTGTTGTGTAGAAATAGAATATATGTATTTTATAACGAATAAATTTTTAAAATTAAAATATTAAATGAGAGTTATACAGTGCATCTTTTTTAAAAGTTGCCATAGGGATTCCTATGTTAAATTTTAAACCTCATGTTAACTTTTGTTAGGGTGATAACTGATAACCCAGAGATGAGTTTTGCGGAGAAAATAGCCTTGGGGTTCTACTTTAATTTTCACTACCACTTTTTGCAGTAATTTGTTAATTTGTGCCTTAAAAAATAAAAATTATTTTGATTAAAAAAGTTTGGTACATCATATACGGTTTTGACTTATCATTTTAACTTGTCGTTTTTGACAGCATAATCTTGATTTAATCATTAAATACCTTTATTGCAGTTTTTAGAAAAGAAACAGAATGATGGAATTCAAACATAAATGAAGATAATAAAAGATAATTTCACTGAAACTGCGTTTTTAATGTCCACGATCGGAAAAACCTGTGTTTATAAACCTGCCATAAAACTTTTAAAATTCTAAAGTTGCGTTGAAACGGAAAGTAAAAAGCACGAGTGTAGGAAATTTGACCTCCTGGTGAATGCGCGAAATTCACTAAAAAGGCATGAAAATCTGACAATATACAGGCTGTCCCAGAATTCGCGTCATTCCCGTGAATGACATGTTCCCTGTCCCGAACTGTGCCGTAATTCGCAAAAAGGATTGTCCAGGCTTTAACCGTGTGAGAACTGGAAGGCGATTAAGTTGACCAATAGAGAGGCTGCTTTTATATCCGAACGTTTCTATGTTCAAAGTTACCTATGCCAAGAACAAAAAATCGGGTAATACTAAAGTTGAATGATTTTTTCCGAATCCCCCTCCGTCAACAAAAGGAAATAGAAGTGTGGTTATAAATTTAATCATTTTGACAATTGTTTGTCATAAACTGTCACGAAGTTCATCACTGACATGAAGAGACGCTTCTGCGCCAAAGATGACTGATTAATGTACACAGAGACATCAACGTTTACTTTAAGGCAAGTAGCATGGGACAGAAGTTATTTCTGCTGCCATTCTAGTTAAATTGTGTTTAACTGGGCTGTACATGTCATAAGAGAAGCTGTTTCATTTCATCGTAGGCAAATAATACATTTATTACTATTCTACATAGTGTAGATACCGAAGAGCAAGTATTAGAAGTCATTTTCTTAGAGCCTCGTGAATAATCGTCGGCACCCAGACCAACATGTGTTTCACCGATTGTTACATCGAGCAAGAGAAGATGGATCTTTTCAACCTAGTCGGAAAGGTCGTGCTGGGGCTCCACGGAATGTACGTGTAGGTGCTGAAGAGTAAGTGTTAGAAAACATGGAAGCGGATCCTAGGAGAAGTGTCCTCTACGTAGCGCAAATGAGTGGATGCTCAAGATCGACCACTCATCGTATCCTTCAAGAGAGAATACTGCATCCTTACGATTACACGAGAGTGCAGCATCTGCGACCAACCGACTACCCGCGACGAGTACATTTTGCTCAATGGTTTTTGCGACAAAATGAACTAAACCCTGATTTTTCACGGCGCATTCTTTTCACCGACGAATGTTCATTTTCCCGAGAAGGAATGTTTAATGCACACAATTGGCATTTCTGGGTACACGAAAATCCAATCTCACTAGGGTGAGAGCGTATCAGGAGCGATTTACTATTAATCTATGGTCTGGAATCATTGGTACTACTGTGGTAAAAATTTTAATGCATCTGATAAAATTTCACTAAAGTCCGTTTCTGTTTTTTAGGTGGGGCCGTTTGTGTTACCTAATCGCCTTAATGGGGAGGCATATGCTAATTTTCTACGACTAGAGCTTCCGGCGTTGTTGGAAGACGTTCCTTTGAATGTACGGCGGAATATGTGGTTTCAGCACAACGGCGCTCCTCCACATAATTCGATACTTGCACGGCGAACATTGAAAAGAGTATATCCTCATAGGTGGATTGGGCGTGGCAGTACTAACATCTGGCCTCCTAGATCTCCAGACCTTTCTCCTTTGGACTGTTTTTTTGGAATCAAATTAAAAATTACGTATATAGAGGACCCCTAGATACGTTAGTAGAACTGGAAGAGAGACTGCACGAAGCCTACGCTACAGTTACTCCTGAGATGTTAAATAATATACAACACAACATAATTCGACGAGCTAGAACTTGCATTGAAGTTAATGGTGATCATTTTGAGCACATTGTTTAATAACGTTACAGTACAACGATTCCAGCCCATAGATTAATAGTATTGCTCTTGATATGCTCTCACGTTAGCGAAATGTGGATTTTCGTTTGCCCAGAAGTGCCAATTGTGGGCATTAAATATTCCTTTTCGGGAAAATGAACATTCGTCGGCGAAAAGAATGTGCCGTGAAAAATCAGGATTTAGTTCATTTTGTCGCAGTAACCATTTAGCAACATGCACTCGTCGCGCAGTCGGCTCGTCGCAGATGCTGCACTTTCGTCAATAGTAAGGATGCAGATTTTTGTCTGTAAGGATACGATGCATGATCGATCTTGAGCATCCATTCATTTGTGCCACTTGTTCTTCACAGTCTACGCGTATAATCAGTGGAACCCCAGCACGGCCTTTCCGAATAGGCTGAAAAGATCCATCTTCTTTTGCTGGATGCAACAAACGACGAAACACATGCTGGTCAAGGAGCCGATGATTGGGGAAAAGACCTGTATATTCGCGCACAGCAGTGGCTGCATAGCGTTTACATTCTCCATAAATTAACATCAGTTCCAAATATTGTTTATACTAATATGAATAAGACATCAATGACTTAGTGGTATTGGTACTGATTTGTTGTATGTAGTTTGTATTGTTCTTAAAAAAAAATGCAACTAAACGATTTTTGTTATAATTTTTATTCGTATCTTTTCAATCTCTAGAAAGTACTCGCAACTTTAAAGAAACTGTTTTAAATCATCATGTGCAACATCAATCTTATTCTTGAATAAGTCTCAGTTTTCAGTATCTGCCTCACATGATTGACACCACAGCAGATACCTATGATCTTAATACATCAGAGAACTGGAGTCTCGTCTCTTTTTTCGTTGCTTAGATTAGGTATCAGCAACAAAGCTGTTCAGTAAAAATTGATAGTGTTTATTGAAAATCATAAGCACCGATTAATCAAAAGCGATATTTATGTTTTAGTACACTTAATAACGTTCTTTGAATGGACATGTGGTACTCTTTTTTAGAAATAACGATAAACTTAATATCAGGGATATGATGCATAGTGAGTTCTGAAAATGTACTAATTTTCTTTAAAAAGAACAACACATTATTCACGGGGCTCTAAGAAAATGACTTCTAATAGCTGCTCTTCGGTATCTACACTATGTAGAATAGTAATAAATGTATTATTTGCCTACGATGAAATGAAACAGCTTCTCTTATGACATGTACAGCCCAGTTAAACACAATTTAACTAGAATGGCAGCAGAAATAACTTCTGTCCCATGCTACTTGCCTTAAAGTAAACGTTGATGTCTCTGTGTACATTAATCAGTCATCTTTGGCGCAGAAGCGTCTCTTCATGTCAGTGATGAACTTCGTGACAGTTTATGACAAACAATTGTCAAAATGATTAAATTTATAACCACACTTCTGTTTCCTTTTGTTGACGGAGGGGGATTCGGAAAAAAATCATTCAACTTTAGTATTACCCGATTTTTTGTTCTTGGCATAGGTAACTTTGAACATAGAAACGTTCGGATATAAAAGCAGCCTCTCTATTGGTCAACTTAATCGCCTTCCAGTTCTCACACGGTTAAAGCCTGGACAATCCTTTTTGCGAATTACGGCACAGTTCGGGACAGGGAACATGTCATTCACGGGAATGGCGCGAATTCTGGGACACCCTGTATATCACATATCACATTCACTTCCAATAAAGAATTTGATGCTATGCAGTAATCGAGTTTTCCTGTGACATATTTTTACATGAAATCAAAAATTCAGTTGTGTTCGTTGCTGCAACGATTTATCATTATTAATATTAAGTTTGTCAACAAGTATATGTACTCAACTATAGACCATTGTATGAACTCTTGTTACAACCAATATCCAGTGTCATTGCTTTTGTCTTTAGAAAAGGATTAAACTGGTGTTCGCCAACTATAAAAGACAAACATTTACAGTTACTGTCCAGGTGTCAATAAATAACGTACGTTTCATTGCATGCAAATATGTTAACTAACTTATGTACTTACTAATAATTTTTTATAGGTCAAAATTTTGTTCTAGCTGTTTCCAATGTCTTACGTCTTTTGCCATTAGAAGAACGCATTTTTAAAAAATCTTGAAGGTGACTTGTATATTTAGCTCACTTCGATTATTTATTACTTACTAAGCGCAAGCGAAGGAAGTATTGTAATCGAGTCCGTCGGCCGACCCTCTACTTTTACGTTTTCTCGACCTTTCATGACTCAAGAGTACGAAGAAATAGGTCTCCCGTTTCCATCTGCCGTCCCGGATTTTTATTTGTAACACTTGCAAACCATCGCGTTTATTAGAGGCAACCGACGCATTTTTCTGATGGGAACTTTTCCAGAAAACGAAGATGTCATTTCTGTTGAATAATGGTTTATTACTCCGTCCAATTTTACTACCCAAAATT